TAACCACAAGTAGGTACCATCCCGACTGCATAGCATGTGGATTTACATTCGTTGAAGAATTTGGTGTCCAGTTGCCTCAATATGTAATTTGTGCGGAGGTATTAAGCAATAAGTTAATGAAGCCGGCAAAATTAACTAGATACTTTGAAACCAAGCATAAAAATTTTGCCGGAAAACATGTAGATTTCTTTAAGAGGAAGGAGACGGAACTGAAATCGTGAAAAAATATCCTTGAGTCATACTCAACTTATGATAAAGCTACTTTGGCTTAAAAGACATCATATCAACTTTCACTTAGAATCGCAGAAACCAAAAAACCCTTTACTGTTGTTGAGGAATTAGTTTTACCATGTATCGTAGATGCAACTAAAGCACTTTTAAGTGAATACGCTAAACAAATGCAAAATATTCCTCTTTCCAATTAAACCGTTAGTAGGAAAATTGAAGATATGGCATCAGATGTTGAAACCCAACTTCTAAAGAAAATTCATTCCTTAAAGATTTTTGCTGTAGAACTTGATGAATCTACAGATAGGTATGTAAATAAAGCTATTCTTCTTGTTTATATACGATTCATAGGTAAAGACAACAATACATTTTCTGAGGAGTTCCTAACCTCGATTGAGTTGCAAGGTAACACAACCGAAAAAGACATTTTTAAAGCAATTGACGGATATTTCGCACTTTAAAATCTTTCTCGCAAATACTGTGTAGGACTTTGCTCTGATGCGATGGTGTCGCGGCAATGAAATGTCACAAAACAGGCTTGCCAAGTTTTGTAAGGAAAGAAAGAAACCGTGATATTGTTTTAACACACTGTATTATTCATCGCGAAATGTTTGTTGCCAAAAAACTAATTCCCGACCTAAACAAGGTTTTGACTTCATTTGTGGTAAAGGCCGTAAACTTTATAAAAAGTAATGCTTTTAGTTCGAGATTGTTTGCTTTGTTATACGAGGACATTAGATCCATACATTGCAATCTACTTCTACATACCGAAGTTCGGTAGCTGTCTAGGGGTTAGGTTTTAGCCAGATTTTATAAACTTTGAGAAGAAGTATGTATGTATCTTGATAAAAAAAACCTGATTTAGCGGACACACTGCGTGACGGAGAATTTATGGCCCAGTTATCCTTTTTAGCAGATATTTTTGAACAGCTAAACATATTAAATCTAGGCCTGCAGGGACCATCCAAAACCGCATTTGACCTTAAAAAAAAATTGATTCATTTAATAAAAAATTGTTGCTATAGGAGTCCGAAGCTGGAAAAGGATCGTTTAAATTGTTCAACTGGTTTTCGAATTTTATCTCTGAAAATGAAGGCTTAACTGAGGATGTTTTACATTCACTTGTTAAGTCCTACAGTAAATAGCTTTAAGATTACTTAGGCAAATATATTAAAAAAACAAGAGCCAAAATAAAAAGCACTTACACAATGGTGTATACAAACTTATTTGTGGCGACTGCCCAAAAACTTACATCGGTCAAACTGGTTGAAATTTTAATAAACGAATAGCAGAATATAAAAGGGCTTGCAATAATAAAAAAACAGGTTCTACATACGCACTTCAACTTCTAGATCATTATCATTCTTTTAATGACGAATTTAAAAATTTTCAAATTCAAAACAAAGGCCTTAAGCTATCTTTGTTAGAATCTATGGAAATTGCCAATACAACAACATTACTGTTGGTTTTTGCCCTACGCCAATGCTCGTGCCTCTTGTGCGAAAATATGTAGTGATTATTATACCAAAATTCCATAGAGATCTGATTTCTCCTATTGTGTGCAAAATGTTTCATCCTCAGGTCGATGAAAAAGAATTCTTAGGTTGAACAATGAAACAACAAATATTATTTTGAGGCGATTCCACGATACCGATTTTGATTGATAGAGGTTATTTAGGTCTAAGAATACCGCTTTGTGCTATCTATAATATTTTATATCTAACGGAAATTGAAAATTCTAAATAAATAGTGGCCAATAAATAATATTGATAGTTCACAAATATTTGTAAGAATCTTTTTTAAGGAAGGCAAATATGTGACACCAAAAAATTTATTATATTTGGATAATCTCCAATTGGTTTTTAGGGTGAATTATAAAACAAAAACGAATGTACTCCAGGTCATTGTAGGAAGAAATCGAAAGTCTCACACTGATTTATCAGTCTGTCCCAAGGATTCTGGGGAGAGGGGGGACAAAAAACGGAGGACGCAAAAGACGAAAAACCTTGAACACACTTTATTTCTACGTACAATGCCAGAACATTATTATCTAAAGAAAAAGTCACTGGAATGGATATCGAGATGTCAAAAGTAAAATGGAATATCATTGGAATTAGTGAAGTTAGGCGACATGGAGAAAACCTGACAACACTAAAATTAATTGCAGATAACAGTGTAATTACAAGAAGCATATCCGCAAGAGCAGACTATTTATTCCTAAAGCTAAACTAAAGGTATAGGTTATTTAAGAATATGCCCCAACAACGAACCATCCGGATAAGCAGATTGAAAAATTCTACCATGATATCTCAACGGCACTGAAAGAAACACCACCACACTACACGATTGTATGCGGCCACTTTAACGCAAAGATCGGTCTAATGCAGGATGAACAGGAAACATCACTAGGTAAATTTGGATCCAAAGGTAGAAACGAGCGTGACAAATACTGCTAGAATTTCTATTACAACAAAACTTATACCAGATGAATAGTTTCTTCTCTAAAAAGACCTTAGAAGATGGACATGGAAAAGCCCAGATGGCAAGATCAGAAACAAGATAGACTACATAATCATTGACAAAAAACCATATATACAAGGATATGACAGTCCTTAATAGCTTTACCACAGGCAGCGATCGTAGAATCGTAAGAGACAAACTAAAATTAGACTTAATAACACAAAGATCCAAATGGTTAAAAAGAAAGCCAATCCCATATGGAACAACCCAACGAATTTAAATGAATACCAAGATAATATCAATAAAATCCCACAACAAAATGAATGCACAAATAATGTAAATATTGTAAACAAACAAATTATGGATGTAAATAAAAAGTGGTATAATATAAAAACATATTACTGAAACCAGTTCAAGAAAGTTTGATACAGCATAGGTCAGAGGCTAAAAAACAGTGGATGATAGAAGAAATACTATTACAGATGGAAGAAAGAAGGAAATATAAAGGAAAATATCTACAGAAGTATAAAGAAATACAAAGAATAATTAAGAAAAAATTAAAACAGCTAAGGAAATCTATTTGATGAAACAATGTAAAGAGATAGAAGAACTAGAAACAAAATATGATATGAGAAATATGCACAAAAAAGAAACAACAAAAGAGTATACTAACGGATTTATCAGATAAATTGAGACGATGGGAGGAGAACCTTACAAAACTTTTCCAAGATGAAAGAGGTGAAATGCGAAAAATGCCAAGAATTAAATCCTTTAGAGAGACAGAAGTTCACGATAGATGAAATCAAATATGCTATCAAAAAATCTAAAGACAGCTGTGCAGCTAAATTAATTAAAATACCAGTAGAACTGTTAAAGCTAGTGGAAGAGGATAACTTGGACGTATTGGCAGATTTATTCAACACGCGTACAGGACTGCTTCAACTGTCGTCTTAACGGAAGTAGGATTTATAAAAATTGTCCACTCCGCTTTACGCTCTGCATTAGGGTATTCGTGTGTAGTGTACGAAATACCCTAGGCACTTATCCAATTCAGATTTGGATACAGTCAATTTCTTACAAGACGAGATTATGTCTTGAAAAAGACAAGTCGATTTTCTTACATGGCAAAATATTCGTAGGTTTCTTATGTGCACTAGCACCGAAGAAATGAAATAAAAACACAGTTTGAAGTAGACGAAAAAACAACATCAGAGTCTAAGGCTGAAAGGTGGAAGCAGAGCCCCCTAGTCGGCTCCCTAGAGTTTAGGGCTCTAGGAGAGACCGAGGTAAAATTGGAACTCAGACTGGAAGCGTCTTTGGCAAGCAATTTGATTAAACCCATTCTATGGGAAATGTTCACCCCTAAGAATTACGATCGGGTGTAACAATTCATTGGAGCAAGGTGTGTTAACTCGAGTATAAACACGAGTCATCCCACCCTGCTCCAATGCTCTAAACCATCCCTTTCCCCCCTACAGCACTCTGATGCGCTATAGAGGCACAACAGTCAGCCAAATACTCTTCATGTGGAGGTCCTGGGTAATGGAACCCCAACATGGTTTCCTAATCGAATGCAAAACTCAGGACAGCGCATCTCCGCTAAGTGTCTTTAGCTTGGAATTCAACTAATATTAATACACAATATTTTATAAGATTCCAAGCCAAATGACGAATAGGAAAATAGAAAAAGGTATGGTGGGCGGGGCGATGCGCGCCAAAAATGCTCATTGGTCAGTTCTGACTAAGCACTTGGCAACACAACGATGGCCCTACAGGTAAAAGCGGGCACGCTCCCTATTCACCTCCTAGCAAAAGAACGGCAAACACTCTATAACTCTTAAAACGGCCACCTACCTCAGGTCAGAGCCGCCATTAGAGAACAATTACTAAGAGAATGGCAAGCAGAATGGAAGGCACAGATAGACAAGGCACAATGGACCAAAAAACTAATACCCAATGTGATAGAGTGGTACAAATGTAAGTTCAAACGAGTAAATTTTTATTTTATGCAGTTCCTGACCAGACATAATTGTGTTATATGTAACATAGAAGACGTTGAACACGCAGGGGGGTGTCTTGACGAAGAATGGGTGGTTTTAGTTGGTGGACAGGGCAACAGAAAGGCATCCATTTACAGGACCTGGCATATTCCTAACACCTTAAGGAAAGATCTGGTCGGTCGTGGATCTATTATACCTAAAACCACATCGTTTGTCTTTAAAGATTATCGATGTCTTAATTACAAGTCTTAAATATAAAATTATATAATCCTGTTGCTCAGTTTTCTGGCGCTGAAAAATGAATTTTATTTGCTAATTTGGACTAAAATTGTATGATATCCTAAAAGAATAAAAGCCAATTAAACTTTCATGAAGGCAATCCAGAACGGGAAAACGACCAAAATATTATTCGGAAATTCAATTAAACCCAAAAATAATAACGATATCAATCCATTATGACTAAACCAACTACAATAATGAAAGAAATCCTCTGAAAAGAGAATCAGTTAATAAAATTTATGCGCATGGATTTAACGACGTCGAGAGTTGGTGGAGTAGGAATTTAGCGGCTGCCGGAGTTACTCGAACTTCGGGAGTTCCACAGTGAAGTTTCGCGCGCTGCACAATCGCGACCAAGTCGGGAAATTTCTTAGGATAATCGGTAGGAGAGCTCGTACTGTCTCCGAGATTGAAAAACTTTTTGATGTGTTTGTAAGGGATAGGTGTTTTTCTTAAGGTGATTTTAAGAAAATTGGGGATAAAGCTATTTTCATTGGACTTCGGTGAGGATTTTTTAAAATTAAGACGGTATGTAAAAAGTTGTTTTCTGGGAATTAGGGAAAGTTTTGCTAAGGTCTTCTTTGTTTTTTATACTTTGCTCTTATTGCGAGTTTAATTGAAATACTTTCGAAACAAGAAAGTAAGTGGTTTAATTTTTAAACTTGCATAAGAGATCAAGTTTTTTTTTATTTAATAAAACTCCAACAGGAATCTTATGATTATTGCTACCTCATCATTCACTATGAACAATAAGCGAGTTAGTTCTATATAAAAAATATTACAAAAAACTTATCTTCGATTATATTCAGCAATATTTCTTAGACTCTAATACATTACAGTACAACTAGCTAATGTGTACACTTTAGCTGCACTTTGCTCTACTTTTTCACTTCTTATCTGGTTGGCCTAGTCTAGGAGTTTGATGGACTCGACATTTACGTGGTTGAAGAGCATTTGTTTATGATTCACGGCAAATTTACTTATTGTCTGGATAACCGTATCCATCTGGAGGTCTCGATGAAGATCACAGTTTCTGAAGTACCATAGAGCTTTAACAATGTTCCTTAATACTTTATTCTAATATCGTTGTATATATTTCTATGTTACTTTCTTTTCATACCCCCCTACCTGTATCCCATATGTCCATATCGGTTTAAGGACTTGCTTATAATATAACAATTTGTTATAAGTAGACAGAGTGGATTTTTTCCCAACAGCCAGTACATCTTACTGAACTTAATTTCTAATTCCTCCTTTTTTTGTGCTTTCCAACATAGCTTGGAATCTAATGTCATACAAAAATATTTTGCCGTATTTGCATTAAGTATTTGGTTTCTTCTTGGTTATTTGGTTACGGCCTTCTTCAGCTGATTCTCCAAGGGAAAGTAAATGGTAAGAGAGGACCGGGAAGAAGACGCATTTCCTGGTTTCAAAATTTACGAAAGTGGTATAACACGACTACCACTAAACTCTTCCGCGCTGCAGTAAACAAAGGAAAGATAGCCGTGATGATCTATAACATCCGGAACGGATAGGCACTTCAAGAAGAAGAAGATTTGGTTTCTATTTATACTAACTGGTATATGTTCTTCTCTACTGTTAGTAAAATTGAAATGAACAGATTTTGTTTCATTCAATTTGGTACGCCATCGCCTGGTCCAGGAGTTAATTTGTTCAACAGAGTTCTGTAGCATGGTTGCTGCATCCTCGTGGTTTGTTCTAATGATGGAATATCGCTGGTATAGAGCAGGCATAGCACTGGCCCCAAGACACTTCCTTGTGGAACTCCTGATTTAACTTCTGTTAATTCTGAATATGCATCCTCATTTTTAACTCGAAAGTATCTGTCGGATGTATATGATTATAGTAGTTCAGAATATTGTTTCGGTAAGTAGCATCTTATTTTATGATATAATCCGTCATGCTACACCTTGTCAAAAGCCTGCGCTACATCGAGGAAAATTGCGGAACAGACTTTTCCTTCCTCTAGAGCTTTTGCTACTATATCTGTTATTCTATGTACCTGAGCTATAGTTGAGTGGCTTGCTCTAAACCCAAACTGATGATTAGGAATTTTTTTCCTTTATAATCGATCTTAGTCTCTTCAAAAGTAATTTTTTGTATAATTTAGACATGACAGGTAACAGTGTTATAGGCCTATATGAAGAAGCTTCTTGTGGAGGTTTTCCTGATTTTAGTGTCGTTATAATTTTTGCCACGTTCCACATCTTTGGTACGTACCTCAGCCTCAAAGGAAGCGTTTATAAGATGTGTTAAGTTTATTATAGTTTTCTTTGGAAGATGCTTTAACACTTCCCCAGAAATTAGATCAAATTAAGGAGCTTTCTTTGGATTTATATTTTCTTTTATTTCCAAATATTTTCATTGGACTTCGGTAAGGATTTTTTAAAATTAAGACGGTATGTAAAAAGTTGTTTTCTGAAAATTAGGGAAAGTTTTGCTAAGGTCTTCTTTGTTTTTTATACTTTGCTCTTATTGCGAGTTTAATTGGAATACTTTTAAAACAAGAAAGTAAGTGGTTTAATTTGTTAAACTTGCATAAGAGATCAAGTGATTTCTTAAATAGTATCATATTAAAAAGCTTTTAAAGGCTAAATTTATTGACATAGAAATATTTATTTTAAAATTTAAAATTTATATAGTGGCATGATTTTGTTTCAATTTTTTTATTGAAAACATTGACTATTTTGGAATTAAGGAGTTTTCTGTAAAAATGATGCGACTCCATATTTGGTAATTGTTGGAAAAATAAAAAAAACTGTTTTTTAATAAAAAAATTTATTTTAACCCAAAAGACATAATATCAATTGATGACAGATTTAGTCAATATTTGCGACTATTTTCAAGTAGATAATTTTTGAAAAAATAAAAACAAAATTGAAAAAAGTTAGACCTGCATCTTTTTTGCACCAAACACATGAAATAATGCTTCTTTACCGTTAGTTTTGAGAAAAAAAACATCAAAAACAAAAAAACAACAATTTCCAACAAAAAATATTTTATTCAGTTACAACAATCAAACGAATATGGTTTGCCTACTACACAAATATGAAAAAATCTGTAAAAAAAAACAGGTTGGTGTCAAAAATATTGCAATCAGAAAAAAACCTAAAACATTAAACACACGGGCAAACACATCCTTCATTCATCTACCTGGTCGTCATCATTCGTTCCAGATTTTTTTTTATTAACACCTGTGCGGTGTTTGTATACTGCTATCTGGTCATAAATGACTAATTATCAGTTATTTTCTGACCTAACATAATAACAGCAAATACTTAAATCTAAGGGCTTACCCTATGGCTTACTCTTATTTTATCTATTAACTAATGCACTACAACTAACATGCAATAACTTCACAGCACTATACTCTGCTTTTTACATTAAACTGTCACACATTTACACTAGCTCAAATGGTTTTGTCCTTATGAGTCTTCGCTTTAGTTCAGTGTTGTCAAGAAGCTGGATTGCCTCGACATTCACATGACTATGCAGCCTCTGCTCGTGACTTGCTGCTATTCTCTTGATTTTTTCGATCACAGTTTCTATACCCAGGTCCTGGTGGAGGTTGCTGTTACAAATATACCAAGGAGCATCAACACTGTTTCTCAGTACTTTGTTTTAAAATCTCTGGATAATATGTAGATTACTAGCTTTGGTACAGCCCCAGAGTTGGCATCCATATACCCATACTGGCCTCAGTACTTGCTTGTAGCTGGATAATTTATTATGACTTGATAATGATGAATTTCTTTCAATCAGCCAATACAATTTCTTATATCTAATATCAAGCTCCCCTCCTTTCTTTTTGACATGGACTATCCAGCGCAGCTTCGCGTCTAGGACGATGCCCAAGTATGTTGCTGATGTTGCATAAGGAATTTGGGTATCATTAATTCTAACTGAGAAATTTTCTATTTTTTTATTTGTAAAGTTAATGTGTGCAGATTTAGTCTCATTTAATTTTATTCGCCATTTTCTGGTCTAGTTATGTATTTTATTTACTGATAGTTTCAACTTATCAGTGGCTTCTTCACTAGTGTCTCCTATCGCTATTATGGCTGTATCATCTGCGAAGGTGGCAATAGTATTTTGTTCTAGCTCTGGAATGTCACACGTATACAATATGTATACTCCCTTGTGGCACGCCAGCTTTGATCTGCCTTAAGTCGGTGTATACTTCTTCTTGTTTTACTCTGATATATCTATTCGCAATGTATGACTTCAAGATTTCTGAATACTGTTTAGGCATGAACGTTCTTAGTTTATAGTTTAAACCGTCATGCCAGACTTTATCAAACGCCTGTGCTACATCCAAGAAGATTGTAGAGCAGACTTTATTTTCTTCTAATGTTTTTTTTATTATATTCGTTATTCTGTGAAATTGATATACAGTGGGATGTTGATTTCTGAAACCAAATTGATGATTTGGTATAAGATTTTTTCTTTCTATTATTGGTTTTATACCTTTCAATAGAAATTTTTCAAATAGTTTTGACATCACCGGAAGGAGTGATATTGGTCGATAGGATGTCACTTCATAAGAAGATTTACCTGGTTTGGCGATCATAATCACTTAGGCTACTTTCCAGAGTCTAAGAACATATCTCAATCCAAAAGCAGCATTTATTATATTAGGTGTGTCAGCTTAACTATGGCTTTCCTTGGTAGATTTTTTAATAGTTCTCGTGTTATGAGATGATATCCTGGAGCTTTCTTAGGATTTATATTCTCATTTATCTCTGTTGATGCTTCTCTAATTAATGTCAACGTTATTCTTCAGTTTGGACTGGTTCTTCCCATCTCAGTTCTTCACCATCATTGTCGTTGGGTTTGAAGTGCTTTCTAAATGATCTGCAAATTGTTCTGCTTTCTGTTCGTTACTTCTAGCCCAGTTGCCGTTTTCCAGCTTGATAGTAGGAGAATGAATAATTAGTCTCTTTATTCTTTTTGTTGCCTTCCATAACGAATAATCTGTGTTATGGTCAGCTGTTAAATTACTTAAAAAAGAATTAATTGTTGAATTTTTTATATTTTGTATCTCCCTTTTAATTTTTGGGTAGTATTATTTAGACCAGTTTTGTCTCGTGGAGCTCTGTATTGCTGCCATTTTTTTTCTTAACTTCCTTTTTTCTACTATGAGTTCTCTGATTTCTTTTGGATAGTTGTTCCCTTTTGTTCCAGAAGTTATTGTGGGAGTATTTCTCCAAGCTGCCTGTTGGATATTTTTTATAAAAACTTCTAATTCGTCATCAAGTTGTCTCGTGTTTCTCAATGGCACAGCAAGATTAATTTTGTGTTCAAGGTTTATTTTGAAGCTCTCCCAGTCAGTTTTTATTAGTCAATATTGGATTGAACTCTTTTTTAATCACTGTATCAGTCATAGTTAAAACTATCGGTGAGTGATCAAAGTTCATGTCTCAGCCGTCATTGATATCCAGATAGTTAGCTGAGATATTTTTGTAAATAAAGAAATCTATCAGGTCTGAAATTTTATTTCTATCGGTAGGCCAGTATGTTGGTCTATCAGTAGAGATTACTTCACCCTTTTGTTCCTTAACAGCTGACAATAGTTCTTTGCCTTTAGTTGTAGTTAGACTACAGCCCCAGTGGGTATTTTTTGTATTAAAGTCTCCACCGATGATGTATCTTTTTCCTAAAGTTTTTATAAACTCTTGAAACTGCTCTCTTTTAATGAAGTGTCTAGGGGGACAATATATTGAACTTATATTTAAGGTATGTGTTTTCATCTTCACACAGACTTTTGTAGTATGTATGTGCTCAGTTGCACATTTTAATTCCTCATGATGCAAGATGTTATCTTTAATTATAATAGCGCTTCCTTCTTTAGGTGCATTATCTCAGTGTACAGTAGAATATACTCTATATCCCCTAAATTTTATATATGACTGTTTAGTGAAGTGTGTTTCCAAAACGAGATACAGATCAATTATCTAGTACTGCTTGCAACTCGATCTGATGTTGTAATAGTCCATTTGCGTTCCACGCCATTATTCGGAGGTCTTTAGTCATTTCTGATTCCTTTCTGATTTCTTTCATCCGTTCCAGATGATTTAGTTTTTTGGTTTTCTACCATGGCTGCATCACTTGTGAGACGAGAGTAAAGGCCATTTGGTCCATAAGAACGAATCGTATTGCCAACTGCATTACATCTGCATATTTGACTTTTTTGACGGGTATAGGATTGCAATAGACAGGAATATCATAAAAAACTCTGAGAGAGGTTGCTGTCAAGGTTTCTCAAAATGTGGAATAAATGGAAACTCGTAAGGCCAGTAAATACACTGACTTTAATACCATCTAAATGCTGATTGCTGTACTGGAAAATTCGGTATTTGGAAATCTGAAACCTTTGCTTTTCTGCATCGGAGATAACTTTTCTAAAATGTCCTTCATACTGACCACCAAAGTTCAGAATCATATTTTATTTTACCGGAATGGAAATAAACTGCATATTGTTTAACAAAATCGGCATATTGTTTGGGGCAAAAAACGTAGTCCTTCTTTCTTAAAACGTCTCAATAACTCCAAAGCAGCGATCACAGGGAAGAAAGCTATGTCCTGCTCAGAAAAGCGGTGCTCTATCTTGTCAATAGACCTAGTTCTCACTAGCAAATACAGGAACTGAATCATTACTGAGTTTTTGTTTTGCACAGCAGCGTTATTGCAGAATAGGTATAAAACTTTAACATTTTTAGGGAGTATATTTTTTATATAGTATATGGTACAAAAACTTTACCATTTTTAGGGAGTATATTTTTATATGGTACAAAAATGACACCACTTCGTTTGGTGACTTTCGAGCCGTAGTTTCATCATACCTATAAAAGTGTGCTTGATTTTTCTTACCAGAATGGACGCAGAAGTTGTATGTCCACAACTGGCGTTTGTAGAAAGCTTCCCCAGCAGGAATTTTTGGAAGTGAAAGATTTTGTTGGAGGCCAAAGGTCACAACTTCCACTATGTCGCTATGCTTGTACAATGTGGTTTTCTCCTTTAGCTCCTTGAAAAACAAATCGGCCTTAATTTTAGGCAACTTCTTTTTCGCTGCTAAAACTTTTCGTTCATTTTCGTCGAGGGTCACATATTTGAGTTTTTTATCTAAGACATCACATATTTTGCACGTATCTGATCGATGTGTGTGAGCCAATCGAGAATCAACTAGAACATTGATGGTAAAATTGTCTAATTTTAAAATGCTCTTATAGGTCATATTAAACAAACAAGTTTCATATCATTATTTAAATGACTATTCAAAGAATTAGCATTACCATCATTTTCTAAGTCTATTAATTTGTTTTGAAGTTTTCTACTATTGCTTTTTGACATCAGTTTCTTTTTACAAACAGAAGCTTAATGACATTTCTTTTTACAATGTAAACAAATGTAATTTTTATAAAAGTGGTACTTACCTTTAAAACTGTTTTTTCTGCATTATAAACTGAAAACTACGGCCATGCTACTGACGATATTTACACACGCAGCTTGGTTCACTTTATAAATGGTGTAGACCTTCTTGTTTTATTAGAATAGAATAGAATTGTACAATTTTAAATTGTCATTTAAAATTGTACAATTTTATGAACAAAGTTTACAAAAAATCAGAAAATAATAATAACAATTATTACAAACTCGTCGATATCACAAAATAAAAATAATAAAATACATAATTCATTCTTCTTCTTCTTCACTATCGCCCTTCATCCTGTAACGAAATTATTTTGCCTACCAAAGGGTTCATTAATACAGGGGGTAGAAAATTGAGGGAAGAAACTGTTGGGGGTGGAGATAAGGCAAGTAAAATAATCGCTACTTGTGCGAACGGCACTCAGGTTTTGGTAGGAGAGCTGGGGTCGTGGATAAGTAAAAGATAAGGGGGTTAGATTGGGGCAACTACAAAAAATGAAATTAAGGGGTCATTAATCTCTTGGGATAAACAAAATAAAAATAAACAGAAAACACCTCAAGGAATTTAATATAGGGTGCCACTTGAGGTGACTAATTATACCTATTACAACCACTAGTTGTAGCTAGGGAAATAATTATAAAACATCAAAAAAATATCTTTTTCAAATAAAAATCAAAAAAAGGTTAGTTAAAAAAAAAATAAATAAAATGTTAAGAAAACAAAATTTAACATTTATTTTTGTTGTTCTGAAGCTATTTTCTTGTGGCATTGTAAATTAATTACTATTTAACTGGGAATAAGCCATAATTAAAGATAAAAATACGTTTATTGTTATCTTTAATTGTGGCTTATACCCAGTTAAATAGTAATTAATTTATTTTTGTGTTACCACAAATAGTTACAACATGGAGAAATACAAGAATACAAAAAACTTACGTGTGTCATCCGCTTACAAACTCCAGGAGTTGGAGATACTACATAAAACTTACAAATGTTACCGCACTACAATTTTTAAATGTTACAATTTCCAAATTTTAACGAAAGCAATTATTGTTCTAAAAAAATATCTGTCTTTACTTTGAAATTAAACAAACAATAAACAGTTACCTGGATTCACATATTTCCACTTAACGAAAAAGAAAAAACTTGTTACATCTCTGGAGTATCTATGTGGACATCATCAGCGAAGAGCTTTATCCATTGGGGGCTGGAACTAGTATACTTGGAAAAACGGGAACTTTCAAAAAGACAGGAACTAAACTTGTTCAACTTTTCAACAGAAACTAGACTTTTTAAACATCTCTAAATCTTCAAAAAAAAAAAAACGAAACAGTGGTCACTTTTTCTAAAATTTACATCGAGCGAAAAATCTACCAATTTTGGTAAATTAATGCCGGTCACTTCATAATAGATAAAAATCCACCACTACTGCTACTTATTTCCACAAAAGGAGCCAAAAACAGAAACCCACAAATTCGACGACGAATTCGGATCCATACCTAACACTACGACGACCCAAGTATGAATGACGAAATTAAGAATTCGTTCATATAAATTAAAAACAAAACAAAAGCTGACATAACAAAACACAACGAAATTAAAACGTAAAAGATTCCACTTCTACAACGTATAAAAATTATAATGCGACTTGGAATAAAACATTAAAAGAAATTGCCGAAAAAGTTAAAATATTAAACAACTCTAAAATGGTTTATTTTAACATCTAGCAATGCAAATACAATTACTGAAAACACTTTTGCGTATTTTAACTTGAAAGATACGAACTAACAAACATGGAAAAAATTCTTCGTTTTATTTTTTAAACATATATAAGGCGATTTCAATATATTACATATACGAGGGGATTTCAATATACTTCAAAGAATCAATGAAATTGAAAATGCTACAATCTTCTACGATCTTGCGCTTCTATTTGCCATTGTTGTACGCCAATTCTAGATAAATTGGCTTCAACATCATCCTTCCATCTTTTTGTCGGCCTACTGATCTTCTACCATCTGGTCTTTAAAAAAACACTGTCTTTAACACTCTGTCATCCTCTGTTCGTACCACGTGACCTGCCCATCATATTCGGTTTGAATTGATTTGTCTCACTATAGTTTCAGTTCCATACAGAGTCACCAATTCAGCATTGCGGCGTCTTCTCCAATCCCTTTAAATTCAACTCTAGAACTGCATGATGATGCATTATGCAGGCCATTCACGTTCCGACTTGTAGTACGACTAGTGGTCCAACTTTTGCAGTTGGATCTGAAATCGGACCGTGAGTGGGCTAGTTGGATTAGTTGGACAACTAGTGGTACGACTTGGAACATCTAGTGGGACGACTTGAAGATCCGACTTCCGACAGGCGACAAAGTCTCGGCGTGAATGGTGAAGTTGGAAGTCGGATCACAGGTTGGACAGAAAATTTACTGTCAGTTGACCTTCGGCACCTGTTACGTATTAGATTTCCATGAAATACTTTACGCAAAGATCTCTAGTTCGCGAATATTTAATAGAAAATTAACTTTTAATTGCACGAAAATTACCTTTTTGTTAAGGCAAATAATTTTTCTTTCTGTAGATCTATTTCGCACATTCCCATACAGGTAAATTTCCGATACTCCGGATTGGCTACGAAAGAATTATCAACAAACAATTAAAATTAAATCATAGTTGTAGCAAAAGATCCCTAGTTCGCAAAAAAATAATAGAAAATAACTTTCAATTGCACCAAAAATTATTCCTATTAAAAATATACGACATACACACAACAAAATAAATCTCAACTCCAGTTTAAAACAAATAAAATATAGATTTTATACCTACACAAATCTTTAAAAACTATAATTTTTCTTACATCTTAAAAAGTCATAAAAATCAAGGGTTGAAAAAATTATATTAGTTCAGCCCTAGACAAATAACTAGAGAAACGAAACCTAATTTTTAAACATACATATCATAATATATATTATATTTTGCGTAGTGTTTATTCGATACATTTTTTGGTTAGGTTAGGTTAGGTTAGGTTAGGTTATGTACACCATCGTGAAAACAACCTAGAACTGAAGTTGGACCGCTAGTTGGATAGAAAGTCGGAGCGTGAGTGGACCCGAACATCCAACTAGTAGTCCTACTAAGTGGGACCACAAGTCGGAACGTGAATGGCCTGTCTTACCAATGTTTCTCATTAAAATAAAACATAGCCACAAAACACGTTTTTAACCATTGCAAAAACAGATAAACGAATAATTGGAATTTAACGTGCTTACTCGTTGGCTATTCTGATAAATCTCTCCTGCATGACATTAAAAAAATAACATTCTGTCACATTATTCTTAAAAGTTTATTAGCATTAACAAATACTTTCTCGAGTTCCCGAAAGATCTAATTAACAAAAACAACCCCGTTTAGCAAAAGCTTGAATTTTAGTACGGTTTTAGTAATGCTGCTTTTTTTAAGTTTACTGACCCCTAGTTTGAAGTTGAGTTCACCGACGTTTATGCGTGGCATGTCACCTTTAAAACGTTAACTAAAAGCATAGCAGCAAAAGTGTTGCGTTTTTAGTTTTAATCTAACACGAGATCAATAATTATTGTTGCCCAGTTATTAGCAAAAACCTTAAGGCGATGTTTATCTCACCTATAATATTTTGAGTAATATTTCTGATGTATTATTTAATGGAAAATTAAAAGTATATATCAAAGATCTAAAGTAGGATTATTAAGTTGATGTATATTGATTCTCTGACTTTATTCTAGGAAGGCAGTATTTTCAATTTCAATCAGATAAAAGGATTTGTGATACGAACCTAAAAAGAAATGTTTTAACCCTCCGTTCATCTGGTGGCCATTCTGAAACACTTTCGGTCGGGTGTGGTCTGTGAGGACCAAAATGAAATACCGCCTTCCGAGCAACAGCTAATTTCGCATCAACGTGTTTTAAACAAATCATTTACTATATAATGTTTATTACAGAAACAATTCCAAAAATTTTTTAAGTTGTATTAGGTAAATTTTAAAAATGTTTACAATTTCAACGCATATTTTTTCAAATTTGTAAACAGCGACTAAATAATGAAAAAAACAAAAAAAAAGATTTAAAACTTTATTTATAAACAAAGAAAGTACTACAAAAACATATATAAACTAAAAAATTAAATTGTGGACACAAACTACAGTGGTCAAACTTTTGTGGTCAAATTTTCTAAGCAATCTTTGCAGCATGCCATTATGTGGTCCATACACAGCCAGGATTTGCAAATTTTGTAAAAAAGCCAGTTTTGCAAAAAAGCCAGTTTTGCGTCTTTTGAAATGTTTAGAATTTCCTCTCTTACCTGGCTGGAGCTCTGGTACAACGACGACCTCAATGCCTGGGAGTCTCAAGGCTGAAGCACACACAGCTTTTGTCAAATGCGTGTTAACTGCTCTCCGTCGTATACTCTCCTGTACCAATTACATACCTAGATTCAAATTCTCTATTTGGGTTGTTGCCTTTGTAAATTAAAAATGCATTAATTGCTGCGAGATTAAGGAAATTATAAAACTACTACCATTGGCCAACCTTTCGTATTTCTGGAAACATTATATGATGTGATCATTCTGTATACAACATCTACTCCACTCTTTGTGGAATTCAAAACATTAATTATTTCTGGTTTTCTTCTGATCACCAGTATCTTCCTCAATCCGATCATCTCTGTGCACAGTGGAAACAGCAATCACATTTTTTCCTTACTTTGGTATATATGATACGGCAGTCAGTGAACTGACGTATTTTCTCGGAACAATCAAATAATCCAG